CCTTTTAAAGTATCGGGCCTTCTTTTCGCCAATTGCTACTGTTTGTGGCACTAGTTGATAGCGCCACACCACTGGCCTTGGATTTAATGTAAACAAGTGCGCTCTGCAAGTGTGACCTAAGCACCTTCATTCAGTCCGCCTGTAGGTGTCATGACCTGCATTCACCCAACTTCCAATGGCAGCTGTAGATAAAATGTAGCAATTTCTTGTTAAGGCTGGTTAATTATGGTGCTCTGGCCGGTGCGCCCGCGAGTTCTCGAACGCTGTGCCCCATTTGCATTCAAAAACGTTAACAATTTAACACCTCCCGTTGGTGTCGGCTATAGGAAATTTAATTCAGCTAAATGTATTATTGATTCACGCCAAATGTCCTTTCAAGATGACGCCTTAAGCTGGAATCGGGTTCCTTGCCGGGCGACAAAGTTCGTTCCAGTGCATTGGTTTGTGCCTGAACGATGTGGCTAGAAGCAAGGCCAGGTAGTTTATAAACTGGGTCCTCAATGGCGACCCTTTAATCCAACCAGTAGAAGTGACACGATGGTTAAGCGAACCAAGTGCTAAATCAGAAAGGTGGTTTTATTACAGGCAAGTATCGCAGGGTACATACACCGAAGTGTCTGTTAACGAGATAAGTTGGACTCAAATCGCGTGAGGCTCTTTCTCACTGTCACACTAAAAAGAGTAGTTAAGGTCGCGACTCGTACAATGGTTGGAGGGCATGGATTTAAGTGATGGAATAGGCCTAGTAAAAGACGTGCGTCTAAAATAAACAATAAATTTCAATTACAGGGGCAATAAGAGCTAAGGTGGTTGGACAAGCGGCAACTAGGACAATAGTCTGTAAAGGATACAGCAACGTCTGCAATCGAGGGACTCTGGCCATAGCCTTGACAAGCTCCTCGCACTTCGCCATAACGGCATACATCAACTAAAACAGATCGCTTTTCACTAACGGTAACACAGAAATGAAGTCCACATTAGGATAAGAGCCAGAAAATGTATGCG